TGAGGTCAGGAGTTTGAGACCAGCCTGGCCAACATGGTGAAACCCCTGTCTCTACTACAAAAGTATCAGCTGGGCGTGGTGGTGGGTGCTTGTAATCCCAGCTACTCGGGAGCCTAAGGCAGGAGAATTGCTTGAACCCAGGAGGCAGAGATTGCAGTGAGCCAAAATAGCGTCATTATACTCCAGCCTGGGTGACAGAGTGAGACTCCGTCTCAAAAAAAGAAAAAAGAAAAATGAGGGAGTTGATCTGAATAGTCTAAAAAGTAATTTCCAGCCGGGCGTGGTGGCTCACGCCTGTAATCCCAGCACTTTGGGAGGCCGAAGCGGGTGGATCACAAGGTCGGGAGATCAAGATCATCCTGGCTAAAACTCGCGTCACTGCACTCCAGCCTGGGCAACAGAGTGAGACTCCATCTCAAAAATAAAAAAATAAAAATAAAAATAAAAAATAAAAAGTAATTTCCAGCACTAATATTTTGGGATTAATTATCTATAAGTCAGTGTGCTAGCAAGAGATCCCTGCAGAGTATCTACAGAGAACAATATTCTCTAGAGTTTTATCCAACTACTAGTTCCATTCTGCCATTGAAGAAATTCCTAAGAGAATATATAACAAGCAAATAAGTGCCAGATTTTAAAGTCTCGCTCCATATGCTGTACTTTTGCTTCCAGGGATATCTGTTCAATTATGGTGAAAAGTAGCTTATCTTTATTTTATTACTTTCAGAAGCAATTTTCTGCAAGCATAATCACTACTTTAAAAAGTCCAGTTATGAAAGGGCTCTAAACAAAGAATTGAAAGTTGAAGGGGCTAACCAGTCTATAGACCACCTGTCAGTTAGAAAAAAAAAATACTGAAAATGCAGCAGAAATGGCTTGCTTGCTTGCTTGCTTTCTCTCTCTCTCTTCAATTTTTTTTTTTTTTTTTGAGACGGAGTCCTGCTCTGTCGCCCAGGCTGGAGTGCAGTGGTGCGATCTCGGCTCACTGCAACCTCCACCTCCACGGTTCCTGCCTCAGCCTCCCAAGTAGCTGGGACTACAGGCGCACATTGCCATGCCCAGCTAATTTCTTTTGTATTTTAGTAGAGATAGGGTGTCATCGAGTTGCCCAGGCTGGCCTTGAACTCCTGAGCTCAGGCAATCCACCCTCCTCAGCCTCCCAAAGTGTTAGGATTATAGGTATGAGCCACCGTGCCCAGCCAGAAATGACTATTTTTCATATATAATTATCCCCTTGACTAAGAGCTTCAATTGAAACAGGTTATCCATTCTTTGGATATTGTCAAATTCCTTCTTGGTTTTTTTTGAGAGTCTCACTCTGTCTCCCAGGCTTGAGTACAGTGGCACGATCTCAGCTCACTACAACCTCCGCCTCCCAAGTTCAACCTCCTACCTCTGTCTCCCAAGTAGCTGGGATTACAGGCACCTACCACCAAACCAGCTAATTTTTGTATTTTTAGTAAAGTTGAGGTTTCACCATGTTGGCCAGACTGGGCTTGAACTCCTGACCTCAGGTGATTCACCCGCCTCGGCCTCCCAAAGTGCTAGGATTTCAGGTGTGAGCTACCGTGCCTGGCCTAAATTCCTTCTTGAATTTGCTGTTTTCCTTTATCCTCCACTAGGACATGAAGTGCTCACAGCATGATAAAATTAAAGATATGAAATAAAATATTATAATATTACATGATAAACAGACATCTAGTAAGTGCTATGGGAGCACACAGGAGGGAAGAGTAGTACTGCTACATGGTGAAATAGTAGCACTTCCTTGGTTCAATTTCTCATTGGCCCTTGCCTGGCCTAATGAAAGTCATCATATAGTTATTTAGCATTAAGTGTCTCTCTCTCATCTGTGTGTCACATTATCTTTTTAAAACAAATTTAATCATATCAGTCCTCTATTTAAAAACTTCTATCCAAATCCATCGCTCACATAACAGTTCAAACTCCTTCACATGCTGTAAAGCATCCCTACATTCAGAATCCAGCCTAACTTTCAAGCTTAGCATCTGCCACTCCCAAACTCTGCTTCCTTTGCCCATTCTCTCATCACTCAACTACTTTTTCTTGAACATTCCATGTTCTTTCACACCTCTGTGTCTTTGATTTGCTCTTTTTTTTTTTTTTTTTTTGAGACGGAGTCTGGCTCTGTCGCCCAGGCTGGAGTGCAGTGGCGCGATCTCGGCTCACTGCAAGCTCCGCCTACCGGGTTCAGGCCATTCTCCCGCCTCAGCCTCCTGAGTAGCTGGGACTACAGGCACCCACCACCGCGCCCGGCTAATTTTTTTTGTATTTTTAGTAGCGACGGGGTTTCACCGTGGTCTCGATCTCCTGACCTTGTGATCCGCCCGCCTCGGCCTCCCAAAGTGCTGTGATTTGCTCTTATTCTAGCCTAGAATATAGTTTTCTCACTTCTCTGCCTACTTCAATATTCCATTCAAAACCTACTATTCCCTCCTTTGTGCTCCCATAGCACTTACTAGATATCTATTTATCATGCAATATTATAATATTTTATTTCCTGTCTTTTATCATGCTTTGAACACTTCATGTCATATTAATTTTTTTTTGAGATGGAATCCTGCTTGTTGCCCAGGCTCAAATGCAGTGGCGTGATCTTGGCTCACTGCAACCTCTGCCTCCCAGGTTCAAGCGATTCTCCTGCTTCAGCCTCCCAAGTAGCTGGGATTACAGGCACACACCACCATGCCCGGCTAATTTGTTTTGCATTTTTAGTAGAAACGGGGTTTCGCCATATTGGCCAGGCTGGTCTCGAACTCCTGACCTCAGGTGATCCACCTGCCTCGGCCTCCCAAAGTGCTGGGATTACAGGCATGAGCAACCACGCCTGGCCCATGTCCTGTTAATTTTTATATCCCCTGTCCTATTGTTCCCTGATATACAGTGCTGGCTTAAGAAATTAATGGGCAGGCCGGGCGCAGTTGCTCATGCCTGTAATCCCAGCACTTTGGGAGGCCGAGGCAGGTGGATCACCTGAGGTCAGGAGTTCAAGACCAGCCTGGCCAACATGGTGAAACCCATCTCTACAAAAATACAAAAATTAGCTGGGCATGATGGCAGGTGCCTGTAATCCCAGCTACCCGGGAGGCTGAGGAGGAAGAATCACTTGAATCCGAGCAGTGAGCCAAGATCGTGTCATTGCACGCCAACCTGGGAGACAAAGTGAGACTCCATCTCGGAGTGGGGGGTGGGAAACAGAAATTAATGGGACACAGCTGGGCGCAGTATCCCATTAACATATATAATATATATTTATGTTACGTATATGCTATATATATAGTGACACTGAGTCACAAGATTGAGACATATTAGAAATGCTATTTTAATAAGATAGGGAAAATTCAGTTTTGATTCAACTCCCACAAAAAAATCCTTAACTTCAACTGACGTATACTCTGGAGAGTATAAAAAGAACCACACCTGGAGGATGACCAAAATCTCAGCATTGTTTTTCTCCAGAGCTATGTCAAAGGCAGATTTATCAAATTTGCTGAAAGCATGGACATCAGCTCCATATTTGATAAGTAACTCTACAACATCTCGATGGTGGCGCTCTGTGGCCCAATGCAAAGCTGTCATCTTCAGCATGTCCTTGGCATTCACATCTGCACCATTCTGTCACAGAAAAGCATTTTTTTCAACAAACAGTGGTTATAGGAGCACAGGTGCAACATCCCATCATCAAATACAGAGGATTTCCATAGATATTATGTACTCAAATCTAGATCACATTTAAGGAATATCAAAGGGAAAAACATTTCTCAAATTCTCCTAAATGCTGACAGACATAATGCTTTCAACGAGTGGGTCCTCTAAGGACATCATTGGGAAATTAAACAGATGGAAGACAAAGAGGGAAGGAACAGATTTTTGTTGCATTTATTAATAGAGAGCCAAGTGCCTGAATAAATAGGCATAAGTGCAGAGAATACCTTCAGAAAGAGAAAGAAGAAAAATCAGTAAGTCTGTTTAGCCTTTAAAAAATTAGAAAAGCTGGAACTCAGGAGTTCAAGATGAGCTTGGGGAATATGGTGAAAAAACATGCCTCTACAAAAAATTCAAAACATTAGCCGGGAGTGGTAGTACGTGCCTGTAGTCCCAGCTAAAGGGGAGGGTGAGGTGGGTGGATCTCTTGAGCCTGGACGGTGGAGGCTGCAGTGAGCTGAGATCATACCACTGCATTCCAGCCTGGGTGACAGAGTGAGGCCCCTGTCTCCAAAAAAAAAAAAAAAACACCAATAATAATAATAATAATAAATTGGAAAACTAGGCTGGGAGCAATGGCTCATGCCTATAATCTCAGCACTTTGGAAGGCTGAGGATGGAAGGATCACTTGAGGCCAGGAGTCTGAGACCAGCCTGGTCAATGTAGTGAGACCTCATCTGTAATTTTTTTTTTTTAAATATGATTTTTAAAAAATGGTCAGGTGCAGTGGCTCATGCCTATAATCCCAGCACTTTGGGAGGGCGAGGCGGGCAGATCACAAGGTCAAAGGATGGAGACCATCCTGGCTAACATGGTGAAACTCCATCTCTACTAAAAATACAAAAATTAGCTGGGCACGGTGGAGCACGCCTGTAGTCCCAGCTACTCAGGAGGCTGAGGCAGGAGAATCACTTGCACCTGGGAGGCAGAGGCTGCAGTGAGCTGGTATTGCGCCACTGCACTCCAGCCTGGCAACAGAGCGAGACTCCATCTCAAAAAAAAAAGAAAAAAAAAGAAAGAAAAAAATTTTAAAAACTGGCTAAGCACAGTAACCCCACACCTGTAATCCCAGTGTTGGGAGGCTGAGGCAGGAGAATTGTTTGAGGCCAGGAGTTCAAAGCCAGCCTGGGCTGGGCAATACGAGATCCTATTCTCTACAAAAAATAAAAACAAAAATAAATTAGCTGGGCGTGGTGCTGGATGCCTGTAGTCCTCCTAGCTACTTTGAAGACTGAGGCAGTAGGATTGCTTGAACCCAGGTGTTGAAAGCTACAGTGAGCTATGATCATGCCACTGCTCTCCAGCCAGGGCAAAAGAGTGAAACCGTGTATCAAATTTTAAAAATTGTTTTAGGGCCAGACACGGTGGCTCACACCTATAATTCCCGCACTTTGGGAGTCTGAGGCAGGCAGATCACAAGGTCAGGAGTTTGAGACCAGCCTGGCCAACATAGTGAAACCCTGTCTCTACTAAAAATACAAAAAAAAAATCTGAGCATGGTGGCAGGCACCTGTAATCCCAGCTACTTTGGAGGCTGAGGTAGGAGAATCGCTTGAACCCAGGAGGCGGAGGTTACAATAAGCCAAGATTGCACCACTGCACTCCAGCCTGGGCGATAGTGTGAGACTTCATCTCTTTTTTTTTTGGTTTTTATTTGAGATGAAGTCTCGCTCTTGTCCCCCAGGCTGGAGTGCGATGGCGTGATCTTGGCTCACTGCAACCTCCGCCTCCTGGGTTCAAGCAATTCTCTTGCCTCAGTCTCCTGAGTAGCTGGGATTACAGGTGCCTGCC